GCTCTCTACGGTCCTCTATTTCCAGCCTAATTAGGTCTTTCTCTCTGTTTTTCCAATCAGCCTAATTAGGGTTTTATATTTCCAGCCAACCTCTTCCTTGCTCTCTCCCCTGCCCCTTGTGTTTCCACCCGTCCTAATTAGAGATCTGAAAAGAGAATACAAAGAAGAGAGAGAGGGAGAGGAGGAGAGAGAGCGGGAGAGAGGCAGGGGTGGAAAGGGGGAGATAGGCAGTGGCGGACAGAGCTTACAATCTTTCATCATTAATTACAAAATTTAAAGCTTAAAAAATCGTGTAGATTGAGCATGTCAATAAACCCATAAAATTTTTGAAAATTAACTATTCAAAAAACGCATTACAAGATGCATTATTTTTAAAATTTGATTTTTTTTTTTTTTTTTTTCCATTTCCTTATATCTTGAGGGTAAGATGATCAATTTGAGAATTTTTAAGCGTTGAAATAACCTCTTATTGTGAATTTTTGAAGTACGTATTGATTTGATTGTTTAGAGCCTCTCTCTTATATAATTTTTTTCCTTTATTTTTTGTATAAGGAGGTCACAACTATTCATACTCTTTAGATGTCAAATTGGATTGTTTAGGATGAGTTATGATTTACAAAGTCCCAATTGTTTTTAAAAAAATTGTATATATTTAATAACACTCTTACAACCACCCATTTTGAAATTTAAAGAACATGAATGATTGTGACCTCCATGTACAAAAAATTAATGGTTTCTTTCTAGACTATTTAGAGAGAGAGAGGAAATTATCGCAGATATACCTTAATTTAAGTTTTATTGGAAAAAAACCACAAACTTTCATTTATCTCGTCCATACTCTTTTTCTTTATTTTTTATGTTTTATTTACCAAAATGACCTTCACAGTAGTCTTATTACCATAATAGTTAGTGCATGTTATACGACACTTTAAGTACCGTAATACTTAGAGAATTTTGGCATTTTAAGTACCGTAATACTGAGGGCATTTTATACAAAAGTAGAGTAAACTTATACCGACCGTTATACGTACCGTAAAAACTAACCCATGTGATACAACAACCCTTTTTTATATTTATCTATTTCATCTCTAATTTCATTTATATTTATCTATTCTTTCTCTTTATATTTATCTATTTCATCTCTAATTCTTTTTATGTTTATCTATTATTTCTCTCTCTAATTATTTTTCATATTTATCTCTTTTTTCTCTCTCTCATTTTGTTTTATCTGTTCTTTCTCTCTCTACAATTTTATTCTACAAGGCAATTTAGATACGGTTTAGACACGGCAAAATATCCCAGTTAGGAAGAGAAGATTTAGAGAGAAAGAAGAGATAAATATTAAAAAAAAATGAGAGAAAGAAATAAGAGATAAACATAAAAAAATAGAGATTAAAGAGAAATTTTATAAGGAGAAAGGGCTTTACGGTATTTTAAGTGTCGTATAACATGGGCTAGTTTTTACGGTACTTAAAATGCTGTAAAATTGGTTTTAGTCTTTACGGTACTTAAAGTACTGTAATTGGGTTCACGGTCATAGCCATAGTTTTACGGTACTTAAAGTACGTATAAAATGATACCTATTAAAGTATTACGGTATTTTTAATTATCGTAATGTTCTTTACAGTAAAAAGACTATCGTGAAAGTTATTTTTGTCAAAAAAAAAATCAAAAATTGTGAGAAAGGGTATAAATGAGGTTTTGAAAAATTGAAACCCCAAAAGATCACTATTAAAATTGGTGCGGATCTCTAAAAAAATTACCGCATAGGTGTGGGACCCTCTCCCACCTATATATGTAGGACCCCAAAAGATCATCATTAAATTTAGTATCGATCTATAGAAAAGCCAAGTCTCACACCTATGTGATAACATTTTTAGAAATCCATGATAACTTTAATGGTGATCTTTTAAAATCATGACTAGAAAAAAGTCTTTTATTTATTTATTTATATATATATATATAAAAGTTACGTTACCAAAGAACTGGCTTTTTAGAATTTAAGATCTCTTCATCCCTGATGCTATTGTGAAAAGTTTCAACCCATTTGTTGATATTTTCCTGTACTTTTGACGTAACGCGTGATGTTGATGCCAGTTGCTCAATATTCATGCAGGGCTCACGTGAACTATTAAGGGGCGGTGAGTAGGTGGTCGCTCGAGACCATTTTAAATACACGGGCAAGCACTAAAACCACTAAAATTTCAAATTTTTTGACCTCATCTATTATTTAAAAAAACGCTTTGACCTATAAGAACCCTTTAACCACAAATATTATTTTGAGTGCTAAAAAATCTTGTTTATCAATCATGCAGATATTAAGCTACAAAGCAATAGTCGAGAGTTGAGTGATGAGGATATGGCATTCAACAAGGGCAAGACGATGTTTACACTAAGTATACAACCGGACCCTACAAATTGAGAACTTTTGATAATTTCTCTCTTAAAATCCCATTTAATTTCTACTTGTTCTTATAATAGGGGTACCAATTGAAGATGACTTACCTCTTAATCCAATCCAATATCTATAATAATGCGTTAACTTGAAAAATTATCGATCTTGATCGAAATCGTTCGATCTGGATTGAATATCATACAAAGCAATTCGGATCTAATGATATATCGGGATATGAAAGAATCGGGTTTTTTACATTAATATAAAATTTATTTTTTAATATAAATTTCTTACACCACACGTACGTGCTGTATCCTGCATTATTTTATTTAAAAACTGCATTATTCTATTTAAAAACTGCATTATTTTATTTAAAACTTGTTCCACATACTGTTGCTACCATTAGAACCTACCAGTATGCAGCTTTGCGTGAAATGCTAAACGATAGACTAGTATTATATGGCTAGTTCAGCGTTTAATCGTTGGATGTGGGACTATTCGTTTTTGGTTTTCAAGTGCGATGAAAGACTTATTTGGACCTCATTTATAAGGGTGTGGTTTCAAGTTGCAACCTTAAACAATCCATTTAGGCACATTTCCAAATCTCATTGTAGTATGTAATTTTGATGTAAAAATATTATTAATATTATCTCAAAATCTATTTTTATATCTAATTATAAAATTTTTAAACTCCAAAAATGATTAAAATCAAGTAGATCTATAAACATATGAAAATCTTGAAAATAGACTGTCTATGTAATGTTGTTGTAAGATGCATCACTTTTGGGACTTAAAATCCTTTCATTTTTCATAGTGTTACATCTCGACATTGAGAATATCAATTAGAGGGTTTTTCAATACTAAAGCAACCTTGTTCAATAGATTTCTGCAGTGCATCAGTAGTTTTACATTTTAAGGTTGCAACCTCATAAAAACTTTTTCTTTTTTTCGGTATAAAGGCCTAGTTGGACTAAGGCAACTAATTTCTTTTAGAAACTAAAAGAACACTATTTTTAAATATTCATAATGATTTTTTAAAAATATTTTGAGACAAAATTTGCTTATTTGACCGATTCTCCTAATTTATCGTTAGATTTTTAGATTTTTAAATTAGATGATATTATAGGAAAATTTTCAAATTTATTTTTATTTGTATAGTAAAATAATGATAAAATAATAAAATACATACCAATAATTTTAATTTTAATGTATAATATTGTCTTTAGTTAGATTTTAATAAATATTTGATGAGCATCTTCATACAGTGAACGAAAATCTCAATATTCGCATATTGATTAAAAAAAATGAAAATTAATAATGTCGTACCCCCATTTCTTATTGGATTATTAAATAACAATATTTATTATGAATTTTAATAATTTTTTTTGAAGGTTTAATCCAATCGATTCGGCCGACTCCCACTCCGAATCGCCGAATCGCCGATTCACCGATCAGGATGTGAGGTGCCCGATCCGGGGCACCAATCCTTTTTTTAAACTGCTGCATTAACTTGATAGAAAATTATACAATGAGACTATTTACCCTTAATACAAAGTGATCACAATTAATCTTGACCATTGGATTTGATTCCATTTATTCTATTGATCAAATGTCAAGTTTAAACGAAATTTTCTTAAACTTTGTGACACACCCAAGATATCAAAGTTCAAATCAAATAATTATAAATAATTGTGACCTAATTGTATCTAATATAAACAAACTCAATATATATAATCCCTAAATGGAAAATATAATTGCGTTTTGTTTTTTTTAAACAAAAAAACTGCTTTCACTTAATAGCTTTACATTTAGGAAAAGCTATATGCCAGCGAATTCATATATGCCACTCTCTCCCAACCATCTAATCTTAACGGATGGATGGGATAACTTCAGCAATATCGTAACAAATGAGCCTTTGATCATTTGTTCTAGATCTAACGTCCTGAGCACTTTATTTTTAAATTTTCTACAAATCACATGCACATAAAATTTGTGTGTATGGCCATCTCACTA